CAAATATGGATAATTTCATTTAATGCAAATTGTAGTTTAAATGAAGCTAAACAAAAAAGAAAAATGCTACAAAGGTTTACAGAAAGAGTCGCATGCCCCTATACCCTATAACATAATGGTATCAGCCATAACACGACATGTGCTGTTATTCCGCCATAACACCACATGTGCTGTTATCGGGAAATAACAGCACGGGTATCCGGGCCTCTGATTGGTCCACGCCGTCCGGCTATATGATAATATGTTATACAATACAAGAAGAGCCAAACATCTGCTTAAAGGTCAGTTTGGTGGTTAACGTTGTCTACGTTTGATGTGATAAGATGGACCATCTCGCCTCTTGTGGAACACGTGGTCCTGTGTTTCACACAGAGACGATAACCTCTGATTAAGGCAGGAAGATCAAAGTCCCTCACAAGGTCACGGACACGGATTCTGTGTCTCGCATGGGATGTACTAGTTAGAGCGCATCCCGTGTTTAATACCGTGAATTACCGTTAGACCGGTTAAATCAAGTACAGCAGGGTTCTAATTAAATCCATTTAATCAAGGTGCCGCCATGAAACCCGTGCAGGAAAGTTGGACTGTTGGTTTTGCGTAGGGAGTTCTCTGGTGCCACGGGTAATGTTTTTTTCTCTAGATTCAATACACATTCCATGTATTCATACATACATTAAATAAAAACATGCTCTTAAGATCTTGTAATTTACCGTCTATCACTGTATACATGTATGTACAGCTTCTCTTCTTTCCTTCTTTTCCTGTCTCTCTTTCTCCTTCTCTTTTCTTTTCTTTTCTTTTCTTCCTGTTGTCTTTCTTTCTTCTCTAACACACCAGATTCTGTATCCGTATAGCCTGTATTACCGCCCTTCGGCGTAACCAAGCTCCGCAGGCACGCAGCACTGTGGCAGTGGGTTATATAAGACTGAACGACCTGTTACACCTCCCCTTCACCTGAAATGGAGATGGGACCACTTTTTGTGCAGGTGCGTCAGCACAGGGCCGCATGTAGTACCGCTTGTTAACACTCCCATCCCCGAGAGGCCGGCCCACCCCGGCTCGGGTATCGCGGCGGCACTCCTCGCCTCACGGCCTCTTGACTCCCTGCTGCAGGCGCCCCGGCTTTATCCCGCCTCGTTCAAGTGCAGGCGGAAACAATGCGGCATTGTGTGGGGAAGGCGCGCGGCGCGAAGGTCGCGTTCAACACACTCTACAGTCACTCGACTCAAACCGGGGGTGGAACCGAGCCGCATCAGTCTCCCAGTACGTTCTCCTCACCACGGTGTCGTGCTCATCCGGGAATCAAACCCAGGACCGGTAAGTCCCGCTCAGCGGCTCTAAATCCGCTTTTATCCAGAAGTACAGGAGGATTATCTGGTCTTTTCCTTCCTGTTGTTGCTGTGGTTGTGAAAGCCTTAACCAGTCCGCCTCTCCAAACCCGGGCCTCTCGGCTGCCCCATGGCCCTTTCAGCCCATCCATTCTCCCCGCATTGCGCCACACACAATGCCAAAGTTACTGTTATCGTATTATCGGCGCGGTGGGTCTGTTAACGGGCGCTATAGAAGCTTTTTTTCTTTAACGTGAAACGTTTTTGCGTTTAGTGCGAAATATCTAGTCCCATCAATCACATTCTGAGCACTGCGAAAAGTAAAAATCGGACAAATACTGCAGGGAAAATTGTTTGCCAGAGGAGTTCGAGTGACGCAGAATTAGTCTTTTGGCCAACTAACTCCAAACATTTCTCACCGTTTTTTTATCCGTTTCTACATTTTCTCGGTACCAAAGAAACCTGATGGAGAGTAAGGTCACTGACACATACGCCGTACGAGAGCATTCTTGGGATAGTCGTGCATGTCCTACTGAAAAAGCTGTCTTAGCCTTGTTGGATAGCCTCCATAGCATGCTGGGGGTTTGGGGGATCTTCAGGGTCTTTAGGAGCTTTTATGTGTTATTCTCTGATTGCATATAGACAGCATAGCCGGCCTGGTTGAATTACCCGTATTAGAACTGGGCTAACCAGTTCTATAACCCTGCTACGGAGGCTCTGTCACAGGCTGCTTGAAAACTGATATCAACACATCAAACTTGCTTGACGACCTTCGACTAGTGTGACCGCGCGGTAAGCAACACCTGTGGCGAAAGGTCCTGAAGAAATTCTCCGAGTTCCCCGGAGTGTTTTTCTCGTCCCTTGTTGAGACTTTCGGTTCATCCCGTCCTTGACACGGTCCCTTCCCGCTGTGAGTCACAGCCGCGGGTCACCCCGGCCCTGGACAGTATACGTAGTCTCCAGCAGACTTCGATGGATAGTCTGGGTGCCAGGCTGTTTGACCAAGGTATATATGGGCCAGTTTTTCGACTCCAGGGCCAATATACCCCTGTAGAAATTATCCTACAGCCCCCCCCCCCTCATTTCATTGTAGTTTTGGTATCACCAATAAATAGCTAGAAAAAAAGGTACCAGCCTACCTCGTCTATTTAAAAAAAAGTTTCCGCCCTATTGTAAATCGTACAAAGCAGCCACAAAATGAGCAAAGATATGCCGTAAATTGGAAAAAAAAATTGGAAAATGATACTACTGTCGTAGGATTCCAAAATCAATTTCAAAAGAAAAGAAGAACATGCGAAGAAATGAAGATGATGAGTCTATTATTCGCTTTGCCATGCTTCTTTTTAGTAATTTGTTCAGCCCTCATGACCACGTAGATTTTGTAATGAAGGCAACATTTTTTTATAATTTGCCAAACATTTTTTATTCGATTGCTCGCATCAGTTTTGGGTTTCCAAGAGGACGAAAATTGGTGGTCATTTTCTTAAAATGTAGTTGATTTGTTTATATGGACGAAAGACATGGCACAGATTTCCTCATCCATAATATTTTTTGTTTTGCCGTTCTGATACTGCATTGAATGCCTCTACCCGCACTCCCCAACCCGCAGAGCACGGGGTTCCGAACCCGTAAGTACGCGTGGAGGAGGGATTCGTCTCGCCTTTCCCACAGCCGCTGCACTTATCTTGTCCCAGGTATCCTCCGGGAAGACAGCAGGCATTTCAGCGTCTTAGACATCTCCTTTGTTGTGTTTCAAACCTGTACCGACCTGACAGCTCACGTAGCGAGAGGAAACATTTCTCAGTAAGATCTAACCAGAAGGGATCGAGTTTTTATATTCCAATCACACGGTTGGCATTCACACGTTTGTCCTCAGCCGTGTGAGCGACTTGTTGTGGTGATTTACGGCGTGTGTGAGACAGAGCACCATTCAGTAGGCACTCCGATCCTGCACAGAGCACTGGACCTTCGGTCGAAGGGTCCGGGGTTCAATCCCCACCGGTGCCGTGACTATTGCTCTTCCAGATTCGGTTAACCCAGACTTTGCCCCAGCGAAGTGTTTCATGCAATGGTGTTATTTTGTTTCACTCCGACGGGAAAATCCTGTCCTATACCCTTGTTTCCGGACCCTGTTCCGGTTTCTTGACACCAACTGCAATCTCGGTCCAAGAAATGCAATCACGTTTTCATTCGCCTTTTCATTCATTAAAGGGAAAGTTTATTTGCAAGTTCGTAGCCGAAGGCTAATTCCAAGTCCTTGGGCATGGGAAACATACAGGTGGTAGGTAGAGAGTCTAGAGACATAAAAATACATGTGGTAAGGACAGGGATGATAATTATAATCTAATTCAAATACTAGTGGCTGTGACAATAGACTAATTCAAGTACTAGTGCTGGCTATATCTAGCATTTTCTCATTAAGGTATCTGCCGGTGTTCCTCTCTATCAAAGAACGCAGCAGATTTGTAGAATTTCCTAATTAATTATGCAAATTAGGCCCTGATTTGCATAATATTGTCCCATAATTATGTTAAGCATCACTTAGGGTATCCATACATACCGAAAATAACGACAATCCGTCAGCAGGTCCTTGAGTTATCCTGCGACGGGAAAAAACCCATTCAAACGGGAAAAAACCCATTCAAATCCCTCAAAGTGCTGGCAGTGGTACATGTACGTGCAATACTGAAATTGGACGCTAGATGACACTGTTAGTATTCTGTGGTTGCAACGGTAGCCAGCGGAAAACTTAGATTTTATGAGGTCAGTATCAGGTCAACATGTCATTTCTTTCTAGATAATTGCACATTTCTACACTTTCAACACTATTTGGCACAGGGCAGTTATTTTAACTAACTTACACATGTCACAAGTATGACGTCCCCATCAATTACCAGAAACAATATCTCCATTTTGCTTGTCCTTGGGGAGTATTTTAACCCAACCCAGCGTAATAATGTCCCCAGTTTGCTGTGAAACTCCTACATCACAAACACGCCATTTCCTGTGCTTTTCTCGAACCTTCAGTCAGCCACAAACTTCATCAGGGCGTGACTTCGCATTGACCTTCCGTCCAAACAAATAAACCCACCGGAAACCATCATTACACCGACTCGCCACTTCGTTACACAATTAACGCCCGGTCACGTTCGTCGTGCCATTTTTTTTCGTGCTGGAATTTTGAGGTTTTGTCAGAAGTATGAGTATCTACGGCAATCTTTTCAGTCACAAGACAAGTGAATTTTACACGACACACGCACGACTGTCCCAAGAATGCAACCAGTTTGTTGTCGCGCGCAAATCTGGCGTCGCAAATCAGGAAAATAGCTCGCCCAACGAGTCTGCGAGCTGAAAAGCCATTTTGGCAGCAATACGGCCGACGTCCTCTCTATCATTGTGTGATTTTTAGGAATCGGCAAATGTTTGCAGGTCACCGCCATTCCTGCGGTAGACTTTTAGGCAAAAAATGCCCTGGACTCTCTGACGATTCTGAAATTTCTGCGACCTTTTGGTACGGTGATAAATACATTCGGTCGAATGTCGTCGACAGTGTGACGCCGACTTAAGCTGTTGTACCCTTTCACGACCGTCCAACTACCCCAGTACAAAAGACAACCGTTTCCAGTGCTTTTGACGGCGCCGCTGTCCAAGTGGCGGGACAACAGTGCTGCTTGTCCGGGTGTTTGCCGTGCGAATCCCGGTGTCCTAGTGGCGGGACAACAGCGCTGCCAGCCGTGTTTGCCGTGCGCTGTTGCCCTGTTGACAGGCGTGTAGTTCGCACGTCCTCTCGCCCTGGCGATGTTTATAAACACGAGAGTTGGAGGTTTACCGATGGCTGGTTTTTCCCGCCCAGTTTGTGTTTCCCTGGGACAGCGGGGCTGAGTCATGTGTGTCATCACACTCGTCTTCAAGCAGATGCAAGGGGGTCGGTGGTCTCCGTAGCAGGCAATAGGTGCGGTTGGTTTTTCTTCTGCTGATTAGAACTTAACCCAAGGAGGAAATGTACTGTTTGGGTATGGTATCTGCCTGTCATTTAGGCAAACACCTTCACTTTTCCCAGACGTGTGGTGGGTTCTTAAATGCGCTCGAGGTCACTGTCCTCAAACGCGGGACTGCGTCATGGGTTGGTGGGGTGCGTTACCAAGAGTGGTAGTGATCTGTTTTCATACAGAGAAGACCAGAGAACTATGGTACGATGCTGGGGCGATATCGGGTGGGAATGTCTGACAGGTTTCGCCCTATTTATCACAGAGGTCGCGCCTTTGAAGTTGATGTTTGAAGACCGGAAGCCGCGATTTTTCGGCAGTTTTGTCAAGAGTCTCGAGTTGTGGTCTGTTCGGGTGACCTCGCGCACCTGTCGGGCGCCCGGGGAAACTTTCTCCTGTTTGCACGATTATATTTCTGTTGGACCCTGTAGCACTTGTTCAGGAAATAGGGGATTGACAAGGAGGAAATGAACTTTTGCCACAGTGAGCCTTGTTGCGATGGCTGAGCATTGGATGTACGATTTACAATGTACGATTTACTTCAAGCAGGTGTATGGAGATCAGGAAATCGCGTCTCAGAAAAACAGTACACAGCAATCGATGGTTTCCCATCTGAAAGTTAGACTGCCGTGCACGACCGAAAGAAGCAGTAGCACGTAACACACAAGCGGCAACTCTTTTGAATTAAAATATCCCGAGTTCTTGGCCAAGACCACTCCCGGGTGTTAAAGAACCCATCACACTTCTCGAAAACTGCTTTGGGTGTGCCCACGCCGGTGAATGGTGGCTCATTATTACGGTTGTACTTGACAACGCGTCGTGGTATCGGATGACCGAGTGGCTGCCTAGGCACGAGATGAAGAGGTCACTGTTTCGATTTCTGGCTAGATGATGTGTCCTCGGGGAACGCACGTTTTTTTTTTCACTCCAACCAAGTGTAGGTACCTGACTTCGGTTGGGGAGGTACACGGCGGTGGAACGAGAGGGATGGGATCCACCTTCCAATCATGACCATGTCCCAGCTGCAGATACATGCCCCTACGGCCTCAGAGACTATGGGACCTTCACCCCTACATTACCTTGCTTGACAACGATCTGCTGTATCCATTTTACAAGCCTGGTAGGAGTTGGTACATCACACTGAGAGGGCGTCCGGTATGACCTGTAAAGCCTCTGATGGCCTCTAATGTACAAAACACACAGGTTCACTGTCACGGCATCTGCGTGGCAGACGTCAGGTAGTTTGTTTTCCTTTCAAAAGTTGCTCGGTTTTACTTCTTTTCGCTCGTTTGGTGTACCTTTTGGTCGCGTCGTGTCATACTGCCTTTGGCTTGTTTTGAACTGCTTTTCACTCCTTTTGTACGTCTTTTTGCTCCTTTTCGTTTTGCACTTCTTTTTTCCCCTTATGTGGCAAATAAGGCAAGTTTAAGAAAGCGCGCTCGGTGTACCTACAAATTCTTGCTACATATGCAGCAGAGGAAGCTTGTGTTTGCAGCTGGGCACGAAAGAGGCCAATCGAACAAATCGGGAGAAGAGACGGACTCTAACAAGCAGCCAACACACGTCTGCTTGGAGACCAGTAATGACCTGCCCAGGCCCAGTAGACCCTTCTGTGGTCTGACCTGTGATTGTAGATTATATTTCCCGCCAAGGGGCACAGGGCAGCCCGGTAACACCCCGGGCGAGTGCGATGATTGACTCGTCGGAAGCTCGACCCCAGCGCGCCAAACGATACATCACACAACCAAGGCTCGATAGGTCGTCCGATCGACTGCCTGATAAACCCAGCTTAATAACACATGTGGCGGCCACGTTAATTCTATAGAACATTGTCACATTAATTTGCTGGGGGTTTTGATAACTTTGTTATGTGGTAACCCCGGTTGTAGTTCACATCTGGTTCGTGTGTTCGCAGAAGTAAGACATCAAAGTCTTGTCCTGATGTTGGCTGTACCACAAGATTTCCCTGCAGGTTTGGATAATCGGACTTTCTATAAATCATAAAAATAGTAATATGGACCAATCAGTGAAATAATGAGTAAAGTTCCACAGAGTTACATGTAGCGGATGTCGGCCAGCTTTGAAGCGATCTAAAAGCTTAAGTCTCACAAGGATCAAGTGTAGCCATGCTTTTAAAGTGAAGATAGAAAAACAATCATATTATGAGGTAAGTAACACTAGTTTAATTTCCTTTTTTGGTGGCAGTTGACACAGAAACAAATTTGCAGAAGGTGGGCCAGTGAGTCAGGGCCTGATAGACGTTTGGCTGGAGCTTACCTCAATCTTTCCTCACCAGTAATCGTTCCGAGATGTGCGGCGAATTCTTAGATATGCCAAATGTGTTCCTGTGTATTCTCAAACGGTAGAAAGACTACACTCCTTGTAAGTAACGTTCAGAAAGTCGACGGTGGGGAGTAGAACTCGAGACGTCGTGGTCTAGATGCGGCATTTCTATCCACGGGACCACAGTACGACCCTCCACCGCTTGTGGGATGTGGGTCAGAGTTCCAGAATGTGTGCCACACCTGCTCCTGCGCCTCAGGTGTGAGAGAACAATGCCCAGGTGAGCGGCCAGGTAAGCGGGGGTGGCAGTCCTGACAAGTTGGAGTAGGAAGAGTGATTTACTTAGGTGGCGCTAAGGGCTTCTCCAGCAACGTGAGGCGCCTGCACAACAGGTGTTTAAATTTGCTCTCGTAGTGTAGAAACACCCGGAAGACACTAGGGCCCTTTTCCCACTAAGATAGAATTGTGCGATCAAGTCGATTAGATTGGCTTCGATCCGGCTTGGATGAAAGTCAGTCTATTCGGCTCGATCCGGACAATTCTATCCTAGTGGGAAAGGGGTCTATTGGGCAAATCGCATCGACTTTGAAACCAAATATTGATATTGCTGTAACTCGTATTCTAGAAACACCTGTCACTTTAAGTTTGGCAGGACACTCTTGAACAAATCTGACTTTGATTTGTCAAATATCACTATAACTGTAACAGTAGGATAGTATTTTAGACTTTGCAAATTGGATAAAAGTTAAATAACACCAGTTAATTGAACTTTAATCCAGTTTGAAAAGTCTAAAATACTATCTTACTGTTACTACCCTGGATGAGTAATCTTCACAAACGTATAACTGTAACAGTTCGATCGGAACTGAAGCCATCGTGACAGGTAGTTGCCTTTAGTTTAAGTGCCAGTGCCTTTAGTTTAAGTGCCAGTGTTGGACTCTTCTGGCCTGGCCTGCCGTCCGATTTGTAACGGCAACCTCTAAAAAATCAGGCTAGGATTCTTTCAATTTTGTGATCGAATCACGCCAGTGCCGACAACGTACGTAATGCGTACGTTCAGCCTCGTGAACAGCCATTCGGAGGTCTTCCTAACGATACCGCCGCTGTAGTCTAGAGCCGACCTCAGACTCAGGCCAAGCGTGACGCTTTTTCGATACATGTAGTGATGTAGTACTTGCAATGTTGTTTCTATAGGTTCTGCATTTTCAGCTTGTATAAAAAAAGACACACAGTGGAGACTGTAGTTAGGTCTTTACAACGGCGTGCAAGCTAAGCCTGTCCCATACGTTTCAACCTCTCCGAACTATTGAGGCTATCAAACGCTCCAAGGACGCCTGCTGACGAGGCTACCGTGCGGTCTGTAAGCGAAGCCGCAGGGCCACCCTGTCCCCATGTGTGTGCCTAACCTCTAATAAATAGAACACGCGCCGGTCATTGTGCTCGGTCAGTGCCGGACCGCCCCGATACCCGCACCCCGAACAAACCGAGAACAACTCCCGGGAGACGCTCACATCCCCGCCGAGACCGGCTCTCTCCCGCCCCGGAGCAACAGGTACTTGTTTCAGCCCTCCTACATGTGTGCGCTGCGGGCAGATTTAGCGCTAACTCTGAAGACCTGCCAGCTATATCGACCCAAAACATAGCACGGGTTGACCCCATAAGTAGCAACCGATGGCGCGATTTCCCTGCTCGGCAACGCGCGGGGCTGACATTGCCCGGGAGGTCGGCAATGGTCGACGGGCTATTTACAGAGGAGGGGTTTTCTCGGAGTTACTATATGTTTTGTCTTGACGCAGGGCATTAAGAGATTTATGCTCCTTCCGTGCGGGCCTCTCTGTACTACCAGTGCTGGTGTTTTATAAGGCCCGAGCTGTGTGACGTACAGGTAGGTGAAGTGGTGTAAATGAGGTGTTGTGTAAAGCTAAGATGTCAGGATCTCGCTACCGTCCAACTTGGAGTTAGTCAGGCTATTACAACGGACCCCTCACCCTCTCCCCGTGTGCCATGACGCTGTGTACACGGCAGGGATAGCGGGGTGGTCTGAGGGAAGGCCCGGCCAGGGACCCACCGGTTCGGGCCCGCGCTGCTGGTGCCACAAATAGCCCGTGCATACATACGGGGTGCACTTGGCTGAGACCCAAGAGGCGCTCAGGGCGTGCCGTGGCACAGGACGTGCTGTGAAGCTCGGTTTGACGATTCTCGGGAGGGACCTACATGTACGTGTTCTTCTGACGACAGGTATTGTGTACAGATGTGTCACGGCACACACGTGTACCTGTTCAGGTGCGGTTCTGTGTAGGTGTTCCTTGTGACAAGTGCAAGCGAGTCCCGGCAGGCAGGCGCTGTGCACACGGCAGATAGTCTACGTGCTTGTGTGACCGTGTGCCTGGGGCCTGGACGGTACATGTAGCGTTACCTTGAAGTAACACCGGGTCCTGCCATGCGTTAGTTTTATGAGTATTCAGTGTTTCCACATGTGAGGAGTGATGTGTGGGGAGCAGATGTTTGGAGCACCGTCGGAGTGCTCTCTCCCCCTCACACACACACACGGGCGTGAGCAGGCAACAGGACCAGGTCTGGGGACGCGCAGGTTTGTTTGGGCCGGACACAGGCGGTCGGGAGAGTCGCGAACTCGCGGCGCGGTCGACAGAACGTCCCGGGGGAGGGCGGAGGGGTTATTAACTCATAACGTTGTAACGGTGTGCTATATGGGATGGAGGGCTTGGAATAGTTTGTACACTATTATCCATTTGTACTGCTATAACGTTATATAACGATGTTTAGCACCATGACGTTATAAACGATCTGTAGTGCTTCACATATAGCGTTATATAACGTTACATAAAAAAACGGTAACATATCGCTAACTTACAACGTTGTTACGTGTGCTATATGGGATGGGGGGCTTAATAGTTTTTACACCGCTATCAATTTGTAAACATAACGCATTATATAACTTAACGCACATGTACTTACTGCAAGCGATAAGATATATTGGGTTCTATATCATTTCGTTAGCAAGTGTACTGAGCAAGTGAAAACGGTGTATCACGGATTGTTGTTCGCATGATAGTGTGAGTGAGTGAGTGAGTGAGTGAGTGAGTGAGTGAGTGAGTGAGTGAGTGAGTGAGTGAGTGAGTGAGTGAGTGAGTGAGTGAGTGAGTGAGTGAGTGAAGAAATGTACCGACACAAGTTGGTCGACAACATCGAGTTCGACATAGTCTGATGACTTGACCGTATTGTTGACCCAGTTTCCTAAGGTTTGCAGCTGTGGTCACTTTTCAATGCGAAAATACGGTAGAAAACGTGGATGTCTTGCAAAGTTCTATGGCAGGTAGGTCTATATCTTCAAGCATTAGCGTGGAACCCAGCTGCAGGGGGCAGGAGAGCATCCCCCCAAAACGTCTACCTTGCCCAGGTTGTGTGTACTAGCAGTTTGTCCCGGTGGGCCTGTATGTACGATGTAGGATCGCCCGACCTTGGAACTCAGGAGCCATTGTTTACAAACGTCTGACTTACCTGAGACACACCTGTCTCACCTAACACCTGTCTCGCGACTGACTTACCTGACGTACACCTGTCTTGCCTAACACCTGTTTTACCGAAAAATCCCTGCGACCCACACCGTACCGTTCCCTCCATACCAAGGCTACTCTAGTCAGTCTGGTAAATCCCCTACCCAACACTTATCCAAATGTTTTGGCTGACTCTTACTCTCTGTCTCGGAATGCCACGCCTCCCGGCGTGCTGCACTTCCCGCGCGGTCCGCATGGAGTTCGAGTTCAAAGGTTCCTCATCAAAACGTAATCTTTCCGTTCCACCATGGGAAATAGGAGAACAATGGTCATCAGGAAGAGATTTATCCCGCGCTACTGGTACTAGTAACCTGATATCTCCCCAGAACTGGAGCGTAGGTAATGTTGAATTGACGTCCGCTGTTGACCCACATTTCCCATTGTTCTGTGGCTACACGCAAGGGTATATTAATCCTCAACCCGCCAAGCTTTTATAACATACCACAAAGCGACGTTAGGGAGACTGGTTATGTGGCGTTTCAAAGCAGAGCAGTTATGACAAAGAAGAGGTTTTTAAGTTTGGTGGTTTGACGATATTTCCTGTCGCGCAACAATAGGCACTTGAAGGCAGCGAAACTTGCGTACGGGCTGAATACCTTCTTCACACTCTCTAAGGACTTCATGAAAGAACAAGCAAACTTCCAAAGTGCACTGTTTTTCTTAAAACTTCTTCAAGTTGCACTTCTATGTTGGGGCGTGGCCACATCCGTAGGCCGTTGTATGCGCATACAATTTTGATACCGTAGACAATTGACAAGCCTTGTCCGTAACAATGCAGCTGAAGTTTGCCGGACACTCGCAAGACTACTCAGCACAGGTAGTTTGCGATCGTATGACGATCGTACGACGGTTGTGACTGAGCCCTAAATAACGAGTTGCTAAGCTAAGGTGGATGATTTTCAGAGCTGAAGTTGTTTGAGATCCTTGTTGAGCGTTGTTGCAAAAGTCTCGCAAAATGAAAATCGTAAGTCTCGCAAAATGAAAATCGTAACTTAAGGCAGTAGACAGAAGGCGGATTCCTTTTGATGGTATACTAGAATCAGCTGATGCCAAGCGGTCTGCTGGTCTCAGCTTAATCTTAAAACCACATTTGGCTCCATTTCAGCCCACAAACCACAGTTGACACCAGCCTAAGTGTAAGATCTACAGCCCGAGCCTCCGACCGCGCAGTCTGCCCGGGTGGTTCCTACGTGTAATTGCTAAGTTGTAAGCGTGTGAAAACATCGCCCTCAGACTTGGCAGGTCTAAAGACTAGAAGTCAAAACAAAGCTGTTATTCCTCACTCCCCTCCCCCATTACACGCACGATTTCCCTGGAGTTGGTTTCAAGCACGGCGCTGTCTGGCTGGGTGCCAGACTGGTCTCCGAGCAGATACAGGGATGGACCATCGTAAAGTTTTCTGACTAGCCTTTTTAGGCTTGAGGAGGAGGCTGGAAAGAGTAGAAACTGGCCAAATAGAGAGATAGCATGCCAGAGGAGTTGGTCCGCTAGAGAGTGCAGTTTGCCGGCCCGAACTCTACTCTCTAGCGGACCAACTCCTCTGGCATGTTATCTCTATTTGGCCAATTTCTACTCTTTCCAGCCGCCTCCCGAGTCCTTTCGCAAGCGTCGTAAAATCGTCGTTCGATTGCAAATTGGGAGCATATTTGGGATAGTCGTAGCCCCGAATTTTTTTTCGGGGTAGCCGTTACAAATCGGATGGCACCCAGGCTAGGATAGTCGTGCGCGTGTCCTAGAAGATGAATTTGTCTTGTTGCTGAAAAGGCTAAGATCCTTGTCGGCAGTTGGTTCTGTCACAGCCTGCTGGAAAATTGTACGGCATCAAAACCGTACGATGTCCTACGACGAATGTGACCGCGCTGGTCAACTGCACGGATATTTGAGATTGGGATTGGAAAAGCCCGGCATTTAGAACACATTACTACCTTCTACCCAGCATCTGCTCGGACGCCCCGTAGGCACTCACACATAGCCTCCATCAAGGCTTCCTTTTACTATTAAGGGTTATGGATAGGAGAATTCGTCCAAAAGAGGCTCAGTATTATCCAGGGGAGTGCGGAACACTTCCAATTTCACTCCCTCCACACGTCACGGAAGGTGCTGCTTCAAACCCACCGAGAAGTTTTCCCTCCGCTTCCCGCTGTTTTCCTCCGACGAATTCCTGGCATTCCTGCTACAAAAGTGAAAGTGTTAAGATAGTCTCGAGGGTTGTGGCAACAGTGACCAAGACGGTACGTCCACGGGAAGGAATGAGGACCCAAACAAACGCACAAACTCGACCCTAACGACAGACACGACTCAGACATGGGTATGATAGGAACGACATGATATTTCGTGGATTTTGTTTCCTTCCATTTTCTATCCGTCACTGGTTGTAATGCATTTAGTATTGTTCTATAGCTAGATGTTCTCGCACAGCGCGAATTCTACTCTATACTTTTCTGACAAGCATACTGTTCTGTCTGGTGTCCCGTTAATAGCTAGATTAGATACCCATTTCCTTTTGTCTACACAACTGGCAGGTGTCTCTTACTTTCCTCTACAAATCAAATGTCCATCATCGGGCATTATCAAAGCACACAAAACAAACGCCAAGGGTTTAGGCATCTGTCAGAACGGCGTGTTAATGTTATAAAAAAAAGGAAAACGATTTTGTACCAGATTTTCTCCGTCTAAACCGTGGTTTGTGTGTTTCCCTTTCAGTTGATCTGTGGTTCTGCCGGCAAGTGACGTAATGTACTGAGGGAGCGAATTCTACACAAGGCACAGCGACGTCCCTGGACTGTTATGAGAGAGTGAGTGACTCGAACATTGGAGTCGACGCTACTGAGATCACATTGGACGGTGAGACAAACTCTCGACGGTCCAAAGTTTGGGGTGTATACACAAGAATCAGACGGATAGGACTTAAAGGCGTTTAAAGATTTACCACCTTGTGACGTAGTGGGGAGGACACGACGTACAGGTGAGACAAGGGCGTCGGCGTGTTTGACCGAGGGGAGGACGCAGCGTACCTGGGTGACTAAGATGTGGTGGACTTTCTTCAAGACGTCATACCGGCCAAGCCGTGAGCACCTGAGTTAAGGCATTGGTCACGTGTCTCGCGTTCGAAACTTACCACGCAACTGAGAAAAGGAGTTGAGGACATGACTCATGGTAACTGCTGGAATCTCAAGAAGTCTTGAAGGATAAAAGCAAGTGTCTCAGAAGGAATCCTAAGATTTTGCGTGCGTCTGTGCTAAGATGTCGTGAGGCGTGCTAACCGGACGAGTCCGTGCCGACTGCTGACAAGTGTGCCGTGTCTTGTCGGTACACAGAGTGGAATTTGTACAGCGTTGTTGTCCTGTTCGTTCCTTCCTGTTGACAGGTCTGTGTTGGTGTGTGCCCATGTGACGCGGGGAGGGGGCGACTCCGCCGGACGACCTGATCATACCGCACCGCCAGTCTGACAGCGCGGCAGGCCGCGGGATTTATCACCTCCGTGCGCGTGGAGAGGATTTTAACTTACCGAACTTACGGGGTTTTATCGTGACTGCTGAAAGAGGAACAAGTCGTTGGAATCATTTCATCAGTGTGTAGAAGATTGTACTGAACCACCGGATGTTATGGCGTCGTTCTTGAAAAGGATTTTCCGCCTTCTTCATGTCGAGGATTCAAAACGGATTTTTCGAATGTAGATCTTTTTTTCTTCACAGGAAGAACGTTTTGACTGGGATTTTGCATTATCGGCTCTTTGACAATCGGATATAAGGCGGAAGATTGGCAGAGAAGAAACTACCAAGATGTGGCCAAGATATCGCACAATTCTCAGGTAAGGCGTTTTGGCAATTGTGTATGTTTAGGCGTCACTTTGCTGCCTACACAGTTAATTCCAAGTATGGACAGCTAGCTTACTTTTCTGCTGTTTAGTTTACCATCTCTTGCATGAAGAGCGTTTTTGTCCGGTTAAACAGTCGGCCATTCTCGGCAGTGCCGGCCTCGCGACCCCCGGCGATAGAAGTGCACCCAAAATAGCGCACACACAACGGGCTTGTCAAACAGGGGGCCGAACAGAAAGCTCTTGTGCACTTATGATGTTTGAGTTCCCCACTGTGCGGTTGGAAGGCCCAATATTGACTGACGGCACGGCATGGTTTACCCTTGGCTGTGAGTTTGGTTGTGCCGCGAGGTGGTTCAAGTTCGCCGTGAAAAGATACGCGTGAAATTCAGACCAGCGGGGTTAGAAGGCAGAGCTACATTCTTGTAACGTCGTGTCAGAGTTGTTTGTCGTGTTGGACTTCAGGGTTTCCTCTGGTGAATTTTAAACCCCCTTCTTTCCACTGGAGGCTGCGACCGCTCGAGCTGGAGCTGGGATCCTTGGTTTTATAATTGGAATGTCATGCACGATATCAAACTATAAGACATACAAAATGTTATAACATTCATTCTTTATCCATGAAATTCGTTGAGCAACATGTGAAATGTTTGGTCGCTGAGCGGTCGTAGTCTGTAGTTGAAAGGGGGTGTAAAGAGGTGTAAACCAATTGAAATTCTGCTTATTTGGTCACTTGAATTCTGAGGAAGTCTGCGTACGCTATGAGTTTTAAGTTAATCTGTTTAGTAATGTTACTATGTGAACTACCAGCACAGATGAACTTTCATACTAAATTCAGATTCTGTGAAAAATAAAACCATTAGCAGTCTTCTTTTGCCCAAACTCCCGGTGAAGTTCGGTTTACAGGGTTATCCCTGAAGGCGCGCCTTGTTTGTTAGTTCCTGACGGTTACATACATAGTCAGGTCGTAGCATGAGGTCGGGTCATGGCAAAATGCTACAGATGTTTCATGTTGATACAAGTTTTTATCGTTCCACAAGGCGAAAGGGAAAAAGTTCAATTGGACCAGCTGACCCAATATTACAAGAGAACTTGACCTTTGAACTTCTCCTGCACATTCCTATCCTGTCGACGTGTGTCAACCTACCGGTTTGCGCAGGTGGGGTCGTGACCCGGGTCACTTTGGGCACAGAAACACGCTGACAAAAAGTCTATCAAGACGACAAAAACTACTTTGACCTCGTCAAGGTCATTTCTTTGATACCTTTTGCCCCACTTTGACGAAGCTAGTGACGTTTATTTCTTACTTCAATCGTCAACCTTTACTTGTGACATTATAAAAAATCTGTTTCGCTGACAAAACTCGTCCCGATCCCGGCTCGGTGATGTCGTGTTGCGTGTTGGCGTGCTCTTATTAAGGCCAACGCACGGGACCCCGGGAACGAGGTCAGATTTACTGCGGACGAGATTGCCGTTTATTGGCGGGAACGTTTCATGTTCCGTCCGTCTGCTGGGTCGGAGCGAGTTAATTTCCCCTGTTCTAGTTTTGATCAACGGTTTGGGGGGCCAATTAACTAAAGGGGAGGCGGTCAGACGAAATGCAACCTTGTGGCGGTTTGGACAATTTTGCGATCTGTAATTATGTCTAATTATGCCGTCCTGCATGTGTAGTCTCTGATGTGGTCACCGGGAAGACATTTACCTCCATGATCACCACCGTTAACCACTTGTAAAGTTTATATGTCATACTTGGGCCGCGATAACGTTCAAGACGGGTGTTTCGACCGGTGTGATAACTAGCGGTATCTCACGGGATTCTGTTTGGTTATCACACGGGCTTTCAATTGTTCCGGACGTTGGACTTGAGCGCGGTGATGTTGGTACCTCGGGTGATGCGGAACATACTGTGATTGAAGTATTCCAACATCTAGTCTTTACCAGAAGAAATGCAACCATGTGGCGTTTTGACAATTTTGCGGTCTGTGGTTGTGTCCAAGGATCCCGTGTTTGAGTATCGAAGTCCATCGTTACTAGTGTTAGGCTCCATTTCAAGTAGAGGCTGATATCGCTGAGCGGCTGAAGATGTGACAGATCGCTCAACTTTAACTAATTTCGTCCATATATAACAAAGTTTTTGTCACATTTTCTGTGTTTTGTTGAGTTGTAAATCACACCGTGCGCCATATTGCAATTACGAAATCAAGGGTCACACAATTTTATCACCCAAATTTATAATTACAGCCATCCAAACAAACGACAACATCAAAACGTTCTACAGAGGCTGATTAGAGACCTGTACAAACCTAATCTCCGAGCAAAAAAAGAATAACAGTCTGCAGTCGGAAAATGTCGAGATACTAGAATTGTTTATTCTACCCAAACATCTGCTTGGAGATTGTGCGCACCGACCACCCAGACATGTCGGCCTGACCTGACGTGACCCCGCCGTGACCCGCGCTATTCCGGGACGGCTGGACATGAACTTGACCCCACAGGTCAGGACGTGTCTGGGACCCCAGCTGAATAAAGCTAAGATTATCTCCAAGCAGACGCGTGGAGGGAGGATCGTGAGATTAATTCTCTAACATATCCCGTTTTTCTGATGGACCCATTGTCCAAAAATATAGGACGTGTTTTAAGAGAATGTCACAGCCTTTCCTTCAAACATCTTCTTGACGGTCATCTCGAAGAGGAACCCTTCCTACAAATAACGCGTCCTGTTCCCGTATTGTAGCAATACCTGGCTAACCATAGAATGTCGTAGAGAATGTTTAACACAACTTGCAAGAAAGACGCACGAAATAAACGAAGAGACAAATCCACACCGAAATGTATACCAAAATTCTGCTTGGGTATACAGATAGCCTTGATGCCAGACTGTTTCCAGGGCCTACACAGGGTAGCTCCTCGACTCCAGGGCCAACATACAAGGAACGTTTCCACAGCCCCTCTCAGTTCGTAGCCTGGGTGCCATCCTCCTTAGTTTTCGCCGGCTAGCCCGCGACATTAGCTAGGGAGCCGGCGGAAGCTACAGAGGATGGCACCCAGACCCTAAGAAACCCCGCACGCTATCTAAGACCATCTGAACTCGGGCCTAGCATGTTATAAGTCTCCAAGCAGATGTAGATGTCGGCGTGCTTTTGCGAAACTTTAATTTTTACGCTGTTCTATCTTGTGGTCCGCTCTTTTTATCTTTTCTGCTCCCTTTGGCCACTGGAAAGACGCTAAAAATGCCGCATGCTTCACGTGCAAAACCAGCCCCATATCTGCTTGGAGATGCCTATGCGTGTGCGGCTGCTGGCGCGTGTGGAGTGGCGCAGGTCGGCCCGTGTTTACACCAGGCGGCAGGTGAAGGGTCTGTGTGTTGACCGGACACTCAGCCGTGTTTACCTGGGCGGCAGGTGGGATTACCTGTACGGCAGGTGAGATGAGGTGTCGACTTGCCTCCACAACAGGTTCTACAGGTGGCGTTTGTCTCCCGCCGTTGCTAAAGGATTTTTTCTGTGTCAGAATTTCCGCGCATTTTAAGGTTAGTTCAGGTCAATTCCCAGGAGTTACAGACGCATAGCCATGCGAAATAACAGGCTTTTCATGGACGCTTTTAACCCTGGATATCTCCAGATCTGTCACTCCGCGTACGGTTGGAACTATCGCTAGCCTCCAATTCCAAATCAGGTTTCTTGGCCAGGCGCCTTATATATAACGTTACCAAGTTAAAACAGCCTGTTGGAAACGGTTGTCATGTATTTTGCAAAAAGTGCGAAAATGACATGTTTATGTTTGATGTCGGAACACAATTTTAGAAGAAGAAGAAAAAACAGGGCGTATTTTCGTCTCACATTTTTTGTGGGATGCAAATACTACGACTATCTGGTCATTCTCTACAAACTCCAGGAAGACTAGTGTGAAATTTACACTAATGGAGATCCTAATAAAACAAACACACAAACAAACAAACACACAAACAATCATTATTTTCCCCCTGCAGGATAGCAGCGGTACTGCTGGGGCTGGTGATCGTGAGGGCTGAGAGTGCGAGACATAAGGTAAGTCGTGCAGCGGAGAATTGAATGAATGAATGATTTTATCTCTAACATAGTAACTGCTTGATTGTAGGAGAAAAATTATCATTTTAATTTATGTGTTTTGTAATGTTGTGTACTCATGTATTTTAATGTTTATTGCTCTCCGAAAGTGGAGGAATAAAGAAAGGAAAGGAAAATGAATGAATAAATGAATGAATGAATGAATCCAGAGTTATCACACCTGATGGTGCTTCTTTATAAAAAAAAGATTGCTAACGTTCCTTATTTCTCCATGGATGTAAGATGCCACGCGGTGTCATCTACAGGGCTCGAACCCTGACCAACAGTCAGATACCCACGGTTTGTTGCCCATTCCTGAAATATTTTCGGATTTCCTTGCACACAATATCCAGATTATATGATAATTTATGTTTTAATATCCCAGAGGAGATGGCCGTATGGCAGTCTATTTGGCCAACTTTCACTGGTTTCCAGCAACCCTTTGGCGTGTGGTAGAGACCTAGGGAAACTATCAGATAGATTAGCGGAAAGGGGAAGTCGCAGAGATCTTCATGATGTGACCGATCGAAAGACCAAGAAAAAAGGCGAAAAGTCATACAGTAACGAGCGAAATCCACACACACTACCGTAGTCAGTAGTCTGCTTGAAAGTTAGCACGTGACTAAGCTAGTGGCAGACTGACGGCTGCGTGCCTAGGGGAAGGTCTTTAATTGATAAGCGGAAAGTGGAAGTGACTGAGAAGCCCGGAGTGTGAACAGATCTGGAGTGTTGGCGACAGTTGGGAAAACGAGAGCTGGGTTCGCCTGATAACCCTCCCGCTCCTGGTGCTGGGGGGACTGATAAGGGATCGTTCCGTGCGCGCCGAGACAAGTTTGGCAGCGGGCGGGGACTACACGGCTTGGACTGCAGCCACTTTGTACCCACTTGGCGCCTTTCTGTTGTGTGGGCTTCATCTCCTTGTCCTAACATCGCCGTCTCCTTCGACAGGTCTCCGTTTGTTTTTCTCCAGTCTTCAAGCAGATCATCGAGTCGGGTCGAATAATTAAAAGCACCGGCTACTACAGCAACTACTCGAAAAAGGCGCATGAAAGAGAGCAATGCCATATACATGTATTTGCGTGGGCTTATTCTATAACGTTACGTCACTAACGCATACATATGATCGCAAACATCGCTTAAGCTCCGTTTCTTTAGTTATCCTCCCTCAAATAAAGACTTTTCAAAGAAACGCTCCCGCAGTTCCAGGACAAGCTACTACGTTAGTTTTTTTTTCAAGTACAGGCGCTATCTACCAGCCAAACGTCGTGAGTCTAGCATGTCCAAATCATAACATATCAAAAGTGGAATTTCCACGGCAGTACCTTAACAAAGTACCAAGGGTCGAAAATCTAATTATTTGGAGGTCTCATCAAGACCTACCCACCTACCAAATATCATGACAATCCATCCAAGGCTTCTCGATATGTTTTCAGAGGGACACATACACACACAGACGCGAACCGTACCGAAAACATAACATTCTTAACGAAGGCAATAATTTAGTACTGGCAAAAGGATTTTGTTATTCGTTGTTTATGGCATTCGTTGTGATTGTTGGCACAGATTCCTTTTATCTTACAAACTGTAGCGAAAAGGGGTTGATAGTTTGATTATTTTCGTTCTCCAGTTTTCTGAGCGGCTGGTATATTTCCATCATAACAGTATACTGTAGTGGTCCTAGAGACTATAAACGCCACCTTTTCGCAAACGGCTTACAGCGTCTCTTAAGCGTTTCTTTATACGTGTAGCAAAGACACGGCGACTTTTGTACTTTCATCCACATCCCCCCCTCCCTCTTTTCTGCATTTTACTATCGACAATCAACACCGATGCAATCAAACATAAATAGAGAAGTACAGGAAGCCAATGAAGAGCCTGTTCGGTACGTTAAGAAGAACTGGCGCTACAAGGATGATGATCACAACCATATGACATTCGACAACAGTTATTATGAGATATATTCAAAACAAGTACAGATAAGCATGCGAGAAAGTTATGCAGGAGTTGGTGAAGCTGGCTGTGGAAACAATGGAAAATTAAGCCGACTTAAAACACCGAAAACTTTTATCGTAAAACTATATAATAGCGAAATGAGTCAGTGGCTTGATTATTTTTGTTCTTCAGCTCTATGAACAGCTGCGAAATTTCAGTCAAAAGGAAAATGTACACCTCACGTTGTATGAATCCAAGGGATCGAGATGAAAACCTTACGTAACCAGGGCTTCTATTCTTGAGAAGACCCAAGAACCTTTGAAGAATATCGACGTGAATTTGTCCACTTTTGCAGCAAGGTGTCTCGATTTTTTAAAAGATTAAATGATACACAACGATATTCCTCTCCGGCCAACAGCTACAACTGTATGCATGTGGCTGAGTGAGGCATGTGTTGGTTTTTGAACGCCTATTGTTACTTCTGGGTACGAAAGTATCGTTTTGGGTGGCTGAGCCGTGGGTTTGTGTGCAGTGCCCGGCCGGGCAGTTTAGGTTGGCAGCAGGTGGTTGGGGAAAGCTTGACTGGCAGAATGATTGTAGGTCAAAAGGTCAGGCACAGGCAATGGCTCTGGTCGGGAACCTGGTCAGGACGCGAGGATTGCATGAGGGACCTCCAATATTTCCCGGAAGTCTGAAATCTCGGATTTCTTGCTGACCGATTTGTCCTCACCTGCAGAAGAAGCGGCAGCTGTCCCAGTACACCTGGGGCACCTGGGGCCCCTGGTCCACCTGTTCGCGCACCTGCGGAAGGGGCGTGGCCCACCAGACACGGAGGTGCCTGTACGCAGGTGTGGAGGATAGGTAAGCGCACCGGGGCAGGTAACGAGAACGCATCTCCGGCAGAGTTTACGTAAAATATACAGCTGATGTACACGTATGTAGAGTATCAGGGTCAGTATATACTACTAGCATAAATGGTCTAATCAGGTTGGTAAGTGCCTGTATAACAAAATTCTCTACTCACAACCAAGGATAAGTCGCAAAGAACTTTGTTGCTCGTAATAATAGCCTCCAATACTTTTTTCGGCTTATATAGTTCCGGTCGATCTTGACCTCACATCCAGGATTATTTGATATTAAAAAAAAGAACAGTGCCAGGATCAATATACTACAATTTCATCGTTTTTATAAGTACTGTACTGAAAGCTGGTCTCTTCATTTTATCTCACGGAACTGATTTGATATTTTAAACAAAAACATGAATTTTTATATTTTTTCTTGCAGTACGGCGGTCTACCCGAGCGGAAATGACGTAGGCAAGTACAACTGTGCGGGCATCTTCAGGCGGTACAAAGCATGCGCAGAACAGGTACAAATCTAACGTACACTAATAAGTTATCGTAGTTTTGCGTTTTTTGTTGTTGTTATCGATTCATAGAAACGTCTGTCTACAGTCTAGTAACATTCACTTCAAACAAAGCTGTAACGTTCTATATAATTTTCTCAACGTTAGCAACTATAGTGTGCAACAGAAACGTTAACATCTGCTTGGAGATTACTTCAAGATAAACGTGTTGATTTTGACCTACCCCCTCCCCTTGACACCCCCCTCAGACCTGCCCCCCTGGCACGCCGGACGCTCGTGCTGAGCAGTGCACCACCTACAACAGCAAACCTTTCATGGGCAGGCTGTACCAGTGGGAACCCTTCCTAGAAGGTACAGTGCCTCTTTCTTAAAGTACAGGACTGCTTTCTTACTAAACAGGACCTCTTTCTTCATGTACAGGACCGCCAGCCTTACAGTACAAAGTTTCTTCAATCATCAACAAGGTTGCCATTGTCCGGCATACGTATTGTCAGGAGCCGTCACAATATTTGAGGGAGGAGAAATATCGGAATGTCGCGATCGGTCTTCTCTCAAATGACGGCAGCGTAATTTCTCACTATAACTGAATCAGTCATGAGTCTTGGCAGTGCTAATATTTTCCTTCACAAACTTTCGTACATTTCGACACATCATCACATATTCGTAAATGTGACTTATGTGGTGCTATATATATAATGTAACTCTATTGTAGTGAGCACTATTCTGTATGAATAAGCTCCTATCTTTTTACCTTTCCAAGCCCAACAAATGAAGACGGAGAACGGTAAGTGTTTCCTTATAGTTTAGATCTGACGCTGCCTCAGGCTTAAAAAAAAGAAGCAAGGAACGGTTACAGTACAACAAGCAATAAACAATCAAGATGCAAGTCACTAAATGAAACTAAAGAAAGAACAGAAAACAGAGAAGGGCGTAGGAGAAAACTGGTTATTACTAGTAGTTCTTCTGTGGTGCCCAAACGGTCACAATGAACTATGAGTTGAGATGAGACGTAACGTTACAGTTTGTACTTCAACACTTTCTGTAAAGAGCGTGCTGATGATCCAAACGTGTTGGTGTGTGCGCAAATTCCTTCGGATGGAGTTACTTCTCCCCGGGGGTTGGGCCACATCTCCCGGGGGTTGGGTTAGCGCTGCCTGCCCGGGGGAAGCCACCCCGTTAGTATGGGGTCTATCCGGGGTCGGGTCACCTCTTCCCGCCACCCCGCGGGGCATGTGTGTTCTGGGTCTCCCGGACCGTTACCCTTGGCAACAGCCGTGACGGACAGGTCCCTCAGACGGCACGGCTGGCTGGGTTGTCAGCGTGACGTACGGCCGGGGTGCGCAGGAGTCGCGGGCAGGCCGAGTGTACAAAGTGCACGCGGGGGGTCCTGTCAGCGGCCCAGGACGACTGTATTTCTTGCTCACTGCCAAGACTGTGGAATTGCTTTGATAAAGCTTGGCTGCTTATATCTTGACGCCCCCTTTTCTTCTCGAGGCTTTAGACGTAATGACAGCGGTGTAGACGTCTGCGGAATGGATCGGCACCATATGGTCCGTGACCTCGCAACAATACAGGAACCGTTAACGTTATAAAAACCTGTCAGAACCCTTTTCCTGACTTCCGAGCTGACATAATGGCTTGCTTTTGTATGCCTTTACTCGTTTTTCATGTCTTTTAGTCTTTTATGTTGAGGCGATCTGTGAAGGAACAAAAACCATATCAATCAAAAGAAAAAGAGGGAAAGGGTCTACCAAGCACTTTTTTGGCAGTCACGTTGTATGATAGGGATGGAGGAAAACGCTCAGCTGTCTTCCATTTTATACCCTTTGAAGAGTTGATGATAACGTTCAAAGGGATGACTTGGCAACAAATAAACACTAAAACACCTTTCGTTCCTTCCATATCATTGTAGCCTGGATATTAGTATGCCAGAAGAGTTAACACTCAAACAGGCTAGAGGTAACGTTACAGTTCGCAGTTCAGTACGTTGCAACTCCGTAGGTTGCAGGCTGTAACGTTACCTTCTATCCTAGTCGGCTTAATTTTCTGGCATATAACTAGTTATACTATTAAGATTTTTGGCAATTTTTTACTATTTTCCCGGTAACCTGAAAGAGTCTAAACATTTGGCTCAGCTGAATACGTTTTGTGGGGGAAAAAGTTTTCTCGGGTCCTCCTCGCTGTCCAAACGTTCCCATGATGCTTTGCTCGCTGATGAAGAGACCGGGATCCGGACGGCAGGACAGATGACCAAGTTTTCATAACCAATTTGAGCGGTTTTCCCATCCGGGAATAGCGGTAAAGGCGTTCTTACTCCAACACGCATCTTCCCGGTACCTTCCAGCAACTCTGGTTCCGCCGAAAAGCGTGAATTATCGCGCGGTTTGGGACCTTCTGCCTTGCGCGTGACGGTGGGGAGGGGGGCGATGGGAAGTTTTTCGAAGTGAGATGAGACTCGTCTCACGGCGCGGCGCGTGTGTCAAGTTCTTTACACTTGGGAGAGTTCTTGAAATGTCAATAACCGGAAACTTAGTTCTAAGTGTGTGCAAGAGTGTGTGCAAGCAGCACGGACTTAGTGACATTTTTATAGCATAACAGAAGTTGTTGGTTGTTGGTCGGACAGGATGCAAAAATTCTATGAGAGGGTCTGCATGGGGGAATCCTAGCAACGCTTAACGGTAAATATAGGAGGACTGACAAATTAATCGTTAATTCAGGCAAGCCGGCAATGCATAATGGTGAATTAAGTTGTTCTTATGTAAAGAATATCCGGGCATTTGGAAATGGGGTAACATTATTGTAACAGTGGGGGGTTTATAGGTGCTACCAACTGACCCAGCTGATGGGTCTAGACCTTTTCGGCCAAGTGGTTAGAGTGTCTGCCTGTGGACTGGTGCCTGGGTTTGGTCGTGGGTTCGAACCCCGGCCCGGGACCAGTGGGTTTTTATCTGTTTCTACTGCTCGCCTCTGTTTCATACATTATGTGTAAAAACAAGTAAAAGTAAAATTGACTAATCCCACACAATGCTGTCCTACTAAAAAGTACTAGTACTACATTCCCCCTCCCCCATTTGGCAAAGCTTTCTGCTTTGTATGTTTTTTCCTAACATTCAAATTTTGTTTGGTTTAATAGTGTTTGCCTTTTGTCATTCATACAAAACCAATTAGTGCAAGTGGTATTTCCTGCAGGAACAGGTGCAAAGTCCCATGTGGGGGCTGGGCAGGCATGTTTTATTTCAACACCACACACAAACCTATGGTTCATCCATTCATTTACCTATCTCCCATGAAACTCACCAATCTTTCTGCTCCAGTCTTTCTAAATGGGTGCTACTGTGTTACCCTTTCCACTAAGTAATCAATACTTGTGTTAGTTAAACACTGGGGGTCAGCGGTCCTTCCCGGCCAATGTTTTAGTATTGAGTTGACAATGGACCTTTCTCTGTGCTAATGGTGGTGGTGGTATATGGGCATGTGTGGCCTCAGGTGGTGGGGCACTCCTGGCTTGGGTAGGTTTTAATGAGTGATGAGAGAGGAGGTGTGTTCCTGTTGTTATTGTTGTGTCATGTTCCAGGGAGTAAACACGGCATTAGTGGCTGGTCTTGTCGGCTGCTGACCGCCACGTGCCCTCAGCAGGGTCTTAGTGTAGGAACCTTCCGTGGCATAAGGAGGGCAGCAACCCAGCAAAATGCACTTGAGAACTTAACATATCCTAGAAATTTAAGATTACAGATGTTGCATCATATAATCTACTATAGGGTACAAAACTACAATGAGATACAAAAACTTTGGAAGATGTTGTGTGGAGGTAGTGTGTTGATTCGGAAATAAAGAAATCATTGGATTGAAATAAGTTTTCTCCTCTTACAAAAAAGAGAACACCTGTTAATTTGTCATCCTTCAAAAGCACTCTCATTGCACTTATCGGAGTTTTCTCAACTTGACTCAAGTCTACCAGCGACAGTCTTTTAAATGTTATAGTTCACATGTGATAAAAGTAGAATTTATGACTTGAAATAGGAAACAAGTTGAGTGCCCAAGTGGTACTTTTCTGCCATTTTCTGCACCAGAGGGCCCTTTTTTGCCATTTTGTCCCCTGGTGGGCACTTTACTGCCATTTTGTGCACAAGTAGGCACTTCTATGCCATTTTGTGCCCAAGTGGGCTCTTTTATGCCATGTTGTGCCCAAGTGGGTACTTTTTCTTCACAAGTGTGCTTATTTGCTGCAGGATGGTTTAATACATGTGGTATGTACTGGTTATTTACCAGCAATGTTGAGTGCAATGGTGTTATAAGTCACCAGAGGGTTACTTTTTTCTAATCACTAACTGTCTTGTTTAATGATATTTGACTGTTCTGTAGTCATATTATTGTCTAAATTGCACATTCCACACGAAAGACGGGGGAGAACAGAGCTTTGAAATGTGTCACCTATCTGGAATGTGTTATCTATCTGGAATGATAAGTATGTTGCTGTTTTGAAGGCTTAATTGATCCAAATTTGTCTGTATTCTTTCTTAATAATATAATTCAGTCTTGACATTTAAACTTTGAATTCTTCAAATTTCTCCTCGCAAGAAATGGGACTCGCCCAGTCCCACATACATACATGTGCACATAGTTATGCATGTATGTATTGTTTGTTGTATGTTGAACCTTTTAAAGTTTTGTCACCACACTGATCTATAATTGCCAAATAATACATGTACGTCTACAGAATTTCAAACAAATATTTGCCTTTTTCAGTACATTAACATAGAGGTGTTTTGAGACTGTATATCAAGTAGCCCTGTTGTCAGGTGTACCTTAAAGTTGCTGACATACCCCCTCTTTGTTCCTTTTTCAATGAGAATCATGAATAGATTGTACACATTGCTCTTTCTTTTAAGTCCCCCCGGGTACAGAAGTTGTATAAAGAACAGCCAGTTCTTTCAGATGCCCTGAAACTTCGGTGTAGACTCAAGTCGCAAGGTGAAAACCAGGCTTTCAACCCGGTGCCCTTGAAATGTGAAAAATGTCTTAACCATCGCCTGTGAGGCAGAGAACCGCGCCAGGGGGGCAATCAGTGGGGTACAATTTATTACCAGGCTGACTTTTCCAATTTCGTGACAACTGACAGTGTTTCCTGCGCGGATTTGGCCGTGTTTGTGGTTTTGTTGAACCAACACCTCGCGCGCTTTTTCTCCACCGAAGGCCAGAGCTGTCAAACACATCAAGAGGTCGTTAGCCATTATCCCACCAGCTCATTTGCACCTGGGTGCGGATTGTTTTACAATGATTGACTCATTAAGATTAAGTGGCTGGTTTGTTGATCTGGCCGTTTGTCAGCCGCCAGGAATGCCAACAATGCTGGTCTGTGCAGGGGATCTGTGTGAAGTGAACAAGCATGGTTTTATGTCCCCGCCGAGTCCATAAACAGAATTAACTTTATACCCTGCATTGTGTACAGATATCGTGATCAAACCGATAATGCTTTCTTTGTTGTGTTTTTACGCGCCGGGCGTCGCGCCGTGTCAACAAGCTTGTTGGGTGGATTGGAAGCTACAAGATTGTCTTACGCCAACCCAAAGGAGTAAAGTGCTCATATTTAAGTGCAGACTCGTCGGGGCCCTTTGTACTTATCACCTTAACCCCTGTTGTCTCCTGTCTTAAGTTGTCAAGTTAAGATTACAGAGATAAGGGTACAGTCTCATTGTACTTTTCATCTCAGCATTCTTGTGTCCATTCTTAAGTTTTCATGTCTTACCCAAATACAAGCACAGTTTTCATCATATCATTCTTGTCTCCCGTCTTAAGTTGTCAAGTAAAGGTTATGGAGATGCAAGCACACAATGCTGGGAGTTTTCCTCTTAGCATTCTTGTCATAAGTTGTAAAGTCTCAATTACCGATAGCAAGATACAAGCACACTACCCAGAGGTTCTCATCTCAGAGTTGTAGTATGCCGTCTTTTAAGTTGTCAAGTCTTGAGTGTAGAGGAGCGTAGATACTTAGCAGTAAAGCTATTGAGACGTGGTGTTTACCTGAGGTTGTCTGTACATAGTGGAGCTCTGCCTGACATGGAAGTGGAAAGGGATGTTTGGGGCATAAGTGTTGACATAGTCTGTGTGCACTTGGTAATCAGCACACTTCAAAGTCTTTAAAAACAAGCTCATTCTAGCACCGGTGGTCCAATGTGAGGTGAAACAGGAGCCCTACACTTCTGCTGTGTATGTGTCTAGCTACTCCAGCCTGCTTCTGGCCTTTTTCTTCTCTTATTTAAGTTTTAACATATCATCATAGCTCCATTCTCAGTGCAACACTAAGACCACTTCTAGGTTCTGAACTAACTTTAGGTTTGATATTGAAACAGCATCCCTTCCCCCTAAGTCAGAGACATCAATCCTCAAGACAAGCTTGACTCACTCATGTTGTCTCAGATATAAGGGGAGCAATAAATGCATGTAAGATCAGATCAATGGCATGGGCAATGCATGGGCATTTACAAGGACAAACATGTTTGACTTTAGCCTTATGGCACCAATTTTTTTATATATGGCTTAGAGGTAATGCTGCTGAAAAATAGTCTCCTTTAGCAGGCTTTACCATTTTTTTCTTTTGTAATGTGATATTTTTTATGATATGGCATATAACTGCCACTTGTACATAGGTTCTTGTGCTGGCTCATAAGTGATATACAGTGTACCATAAGAAAAAAAGTACATTATGAAACAACAGACGTTACGATTATCGGATAGTGAGAGAGATATTGTCAATCTGGTATGACCCTGTCCTTTTGTTTCAAAGGTTATCACAACACATGCAGTTAACATGTATGTTTTAAATAAATGGGACGTTTACATGTACATGTCATGATAACTTGTTCAAACCTGTCCACAAATCTCGGCCAGTTCGTGTGCTGTTCAAGGGCGCTGTCCCCTATAACAACCCTCCTGATAATACCCCACCATTACACTTACAAGTAGGTATCACTATGGAACAAATGGCATTCTCCAATCTACAGTGCCCTGCTAGCATGAATTTTTTTAAAGTTTGGTCAAATATTGGTCGCAAGTCCACCTTGTATTGCTGTAACAGTACTTGTATGTCTGGTTCAAGTACAGATGAGACTCCAGGGGCTATTTTCAACTGTTGATTTGTTTCTGTGCACGACTGTTTGTTGGAAATCGGATGTTGCCCTGTCCATGACACCAACTAGCACCTCATAAACTCACAAACAGATCACGGTGCACTGTTCAAGGTCTTGGGCAGGCGGTAAATTGTTGTGATTGCTATAATTAGGAGGAGGGAGGCCAAGGACAGGTCTCATGTGGAGAAGCTTGCTAGAAGGTGGAAGTCAGTTTGGTGAGGAAATGCAGAATAATCTGGCCCTTAATGTACATGTCAATGTCAACTACTTTTAATTAGTATATAATTTATTATGATATTAAACCAGTCTATTAGGTTGAATTCGTGGTGCCTATGATGGTGTTTGGAGCTATCACACTCGCAGGATACAAGACTGGTGGATTGCACACATACTACATGTATTTTGTACAAGACTCGTGTGTTATGCTGTCTGAAGGTTTCATGTTTTTGTGAACCAAAGTACACAAAAGGAGTCTAGACTGTACTTGTTTCAAACTCTGTGATTGTCATCCATAGATCCCGTTTGTACAGACAGTTCAGGAATAACATTTCAGTCTGGCTGTTGGGGATTATTTACTGAGATTTATGAAGGAAGAATTAATGTAACAGGTGACTATCACACTCATAGCGGGAAGGACCCCTTACTCTTTTTCAATAACTCTGGTGGATTCTACATGCTCGAGGTGTGACTCTCCTCAAACACTGGACTTGCAGCTTTACGTCCCATCAGACTCACAGAGGACTCATTTTCACCTGAGTTAAGGGAGGAAATGTTAAGGGTGTTAAGGGCACAACATTTGGGGCCTGCCAGGATTCAAACCCAAAACTTTGAGATCCTAAAGAACCACAAGACCACCTTTACACTTGTTTATGAAACAGTCTCCAGCCAGAGAAAGTTGACATAACCAGAGGATTGTGCGGACCTTGAAGTTGTTTCCTGTCTGCCAAACGTCTATATTGGCACAAACGTGAAATCAAAGCCAGCGATGGTTATGACAACAGCTTTTCATGGCCGGCGAGGAATTACTCTTGTTTTGTAAACAAAATTGTGATGAACTGCAATGCTTAAAAAACAGTGGTGGCATGGTGTGTGGGAGACCTGCCCTCTATGTTAGAATGCAAGGTTAGTTTCACTGATGTTGGTTTGTTGGTTAGTGCACGTCAAGACCGTACATGTAACTTGTATGACACAAATAACACTGAAATACAACAGTTTCTGAAAATAGTCAAACATGATTAGCGTTATTCAATGAACAAAGACTGGCTTGTGAAAAACATTCTTTTGAGAAGCAAATAAAAGTATATACATGTACATGTAACTTGAAATCATATCATGTATCTATCTGGGTTGTCGATATTTCTGCTCACATGTTGCCTGATGGACGTTAACCTGCTAGAGAGAATTAACCTTCTCCCTTCAGAACTAGCCTTATTGCAGCACATTTGGTTAAGGAGGTAGGGAGTGTGGAGAGTTTTGGTAGTGGTTGATTGAATGTCATGGACAGGCTGACCTCTTGTTGTGACCCCATTCCTCCCATTCCTGTCTCCAACACTTTTGGCACATGACATCCCAACACGGAAATATGGAGATAAATACATTCTGTACAGGCAGTATAGAAAAACAAATGACTTAAATTTGGTGTAGGGTTACCAAATGATGTACAAAAAATTCATGTATTTTGGGACTTCTTGGCTATTTCTAAACTAAAAATCTATATTTTTCCTACTATTCAGAACAAGTGACTTGAAATTGGTATGAAGGTGCCTATAGGTAGGACACATGTCCACAGTACGTTACTGGTATTCACACTTTTGCAATACTTAAATTATTATTGATTTTAGGATGGGGAGGGAGGTATGCTGTATTTGCTCCCAAGCAAATGCCAGCCTTTTTAGTTGCTAAATGTTTTTAACCTTCTCCCTGCTGCCTAACCCTGTGAGCATATTTGGTGCCAAATGGCTACTTTAGCTGGGAGAAGGTTAAGACTGAAGGTAGTAGACATGCTCTAGCTATAGCTGCATACTTTCTTGTAGGTCTGTCTGGTATGTGGTAGTTAGTGACATAAATCACAGTTATGGACAGTTATATACATGACGACCCAGACTGAAATATGGGGGCTAAAGTGCAGACAGGACAGGCACATTCCAATAGATAGAGGGGGAGGGGCAGAGTAGATCCCATGAGAACAGAGCTAGTTAGTTTGACATCTTTCAGGGGACTTAGATAGTTCTGGAAGATGAACAAGCTTTTAGACCATGATAGAAGAGGAGAATACAGAAGACACAACCCTTAGTGTCACAGATGTATATTTTCAGTATAGTATTTGTGATGAAAATTAAATAAATCATGTTATACTTATACATGGCTCGAGTTGTATTTTTGTATCAATAAATCACTCTCCTTTATTTAGCCCGGTAGCCATGTTGTATTCATCTGCTAAGAGAAAGGTCAAGGGTCGACACAATAAAACATTCCAGTTCTTATGGGAAAATTTTTTAAACTATTTACTTTGTTGCTTTCACTGTTTCAGAATTGTTTTTCATTTGGAGCAGACACTGGCTTGTGCAAGAACGCCCCCTAGTGTCCCATAGTTGAATCACACATTCACAGAGAAATGTCTCTACTTTTCAGAATGTTCACCTCTAACATTATATCGCTCAAAGATGATAAAAAGTGACTTTTTTTAGTGATTTTAGGAAACATGAGATGAACTATTACAGAAACAAAGAAATGTACAATGTACCTCTGCTTCACAATGCTCACAGTCATAGAGATTCTATCGTTTCTATACTTCCAGCTCCCCAGAAGTGCGAGCTGAACTGTCGAGCGAAGGGCTACCGTTTCTACGCACGTCTCTCGCTGTCAGTAACGGATGGAACGCCCTGCAGCCCGGGGTCACCTGACGTCTGCATCGGCGGCCAGTGTAAGGTAACGTATAGCCTCCGTTTTTTATGGTAAAAATTTCATTGAAAAATTTTTAACCTTTATAGAATGCAGTTATTATGAGAGCTTTTACGATATGTGACAATATGACATTGTATGAACTTTGAAAAGATGTACTTGGGATGCAAGGAGTGGTGTTAGTACCATTGTAGTGGTGTTTCGGGCTGTGAATTTGTACATGTAGTACATTGTGAAGTAATATACATTTCCTGCATTATCCTATCATTATAATCTAGCATACGCCTATAGATGTAGTGTAGCAGATAGAGGTAGGTGCACATGTATCAGTGTTGGTGTTTAAAGTAAAGGCTCCTTTTTCTGCTATTATTAGATGCACATGGTGGTACCATGGTACTTTATGCTGGTACCTATTGAGTGGTTCTTCTGTTACAGTAGCATACCAGTGGAGACAGGTGGTGTTAGTTCCTTGGTGTTGCTGGTGTGTAACGTTTCCTCAGTGGTACTAGTACATACATGTACCAGCAGGGCAGTAGTACCACAGTACTTGGAGCCCAGTCCCTTCAATGTTGTGACAATGTTGTTTCTCAGGAAAAGAGACCTTGGGGGAGAAACAGTCCCTACTTCTACTTTGTGAGTTGCTCGGTAACATTTTTGTTTGGATGGCTTCAAGGCAGGGAAGGTGTTAGATGTTAGCAAACTTCACATTTCAGGTGATGGTGGTAAGAAGCTCCTCTAGCCCATCCTCACCCCACCAATATAAATTCCTCCCAATGTCTTTAATCTCTTCTTATTACTGTTTTTTGTGCTTTGTTTCTATTCCAATAGTTCATACCAAGTTATTTAGCCTCCTTCGTAGACTTGTGCAACAGCGGTGTTAAGTTTTTTTGGGAACTATGTGAGTTATGCTGTGGAGGGTGTTTTGCCACAGAGGGACTATTTCTGCCTGTTGCAGATGATGTCTTTTCCAACACAACATTTGAAAACTACAGATGGGACAATCAAAATCCTTTATGCAAAAACGACTTTTACAAGACGTCCTACCAAAGTGCAATGCACAATACATTACGAGTTTCCCACAGTCATGATCATGAGTTCTGTCATGCTGTCACTCTATATCCCATGGTTTACCTGTTTTAGTGATAACAGGTACCGGTAGTTAGGGTGATATCTAACATTAAAGTTTATCACTTTCTTGTGAATGTCTTCCCCGAGTTTGAAGTAACCACTGGTAGTACATCTAGTCAGATTATTTGATCCATAAAGAACATTGGAAGCAAATGTTGGAGTGATCTTTTGGTGTGAAATAAGTGAGAACATATGACCATAATCAGTTGCACTCTTCCCCGAGCATTTAATAGCTTTTGTTGCAAGAAGACTAACCGTGAGAATACGGAAATATTGGCCCATGATGTGGGTTGTTGAGTCTACAATCAATTAGAGGATGACTTGGAATGTCATAAAATGTTGAATTGGTGTGGAGATGGCTGAGTGCTACATGTAGGTCTTGCATTTGCAAAGTTGTTCTCAGTAAGTGAGTGAGATCTAACTGAAGGTTTTATATGTTTGTGTTGATAAGTATGTTTGAGCCAGAGGATCAACGTTTTATGATGTCAGTATTTTTGCTTAACATTTGAACAGATAATTCATTAGATATCTGTAGAATTTGATGGTTTATGTATTTCAGTCCTCTCAAGATTCACCTGTCCACTTCAAGGAGTATATTTGATAAAGATACTGCAGTTCTACTGCAAGAAGTGCAGTACTAAACATGTTCTCTAGAGGTCACTGTTGCACAGTGTGCATGTGATAAAGCCACGAAACAAGGCCTGAATCCAGATAGGGTTACAGGTTACATGGATCATCAGCCTCTTTCCTCCTTGCGGCTAGGCTTGTTCACAGAGCTGCTGTTAGCCTGGCAGCCACACAATCAAAGGCTCCTGCCCAGGTACCTCTACGGTGCTGAGAGTGTTACCCACCTGCCAGCCTTGTTACATTGTGGCACATGTTGGATGGTTTTTACAGTGTTGGAATTACTTCATCTAATGGACTACAGAAATCAGAAAGACTGGCTGGAAAGAATCATAAGGCTGTCAGAAAGAAATGCTGACTGACTGGCTGGAAATAAATGCCCATGCTGGTAGGACTGGAGCCAGTACAAACAATTTTAAGCCGGCATGTAGAGAATGGTGACCAGGCTAAGCTGCTATCAGCCTGTATGATACTGTTCAGCGGAGACCTGACACCTCCCCACAATATTTGGCCAACCTGTCCGTTCCCCTGCCAACACCAGCCACTTGGCTGCACCATTACCACACCGCAACAGGCCTCATCTGTGGGCTGGGCTGGGGGGAACGGTCTGCTGACAAAGATTGGAAAGGACAGATCATACATCTGTTCAGGAAAGACTTTCCCGGTATTGGTGGTATTTACATGTATTATGTATCCTGAATACACTAGCCTGGATGACAGCCTTTTCAGGAAGTGGCCTAGAGCACTTTAAGGTAGAATGGCTGGCATCCAGGCTAAAATACATGCACAGTGCACAATTGTAAGAATGGCCTGGTGGCAACTGTCAATGTCTGAGATTGGAATTGACAGGACTGGTCTGATCAAGGTATAGCTTTCCCCATATTGGTGGTGTTTATGTGTATCCTGCATGCTGAACACACTGCAAACCTAGCAGGCCCCCAATTGCAATGTCGTTACCTTTTTGAAGGCACTTTACATTTTCCTTACCTGGAAATGAGTACCTTACTTGCTCACATAATGTTCTCTCTGATGGTACAAAAAGCCAGAGGTCCCGTGTTGGAGGAGAGCCACACCTTGAGTATGTTAAAGATCCCTGACCTGACCTGAACCAAAAGAGAAGTCTGAGCACATCAAACCTCACAGTCCAGTCTCATCTAGCTTGTACTTACCGGTAATATACAAAACTGGCGTTATGCCTAAAGGCATGTTACATATAGATGAAACCAACCTGTGTGGAATGACCTGGTAGCAACTGTCATGTTAAAGGAAAGGACAGGTCTGTTGAAGGAAAGAGCCTTGGCCTTCCTCATGACTACAGGTACCCAGTTACATGTATAGCAACCCAGGATGGAGGTGTTCAGAAACAAGCTCTTCCAAGACTATCGTAGAGTGGAACTCCCTTTCATCTAGCAAACCCTCACTCTAGATAGCTTTAAACAGGGAGGTTGAATCATGAGCCTCCTTGCTTTAAACAACACCTGGAGTTAGATGTCTAAAGGTTAGGTATAACAGGTCAGTAGATACATAACCAATGCTGTTACATGTCTGTGAAGCTTGTGTGTCACATATATGTGCATGAGAGTGTGTTTATACAGCACAGATACAGACACAAATATATTTCTTGCAGGTATTACCATTACGATTTGGAACTAGGTCTCTTATACTGTAACTTAAATTTCAGCAATGGCAGGTTATGCCAAACTACCTCTAATGTCATACACATGTACATGTTGTACACTTCACCTTCTTCAAACACTCCATCCCTGTCAGTGTTTGTTTTCTGTGCCTAACCACCATTTTAAGGGACTGGGAAAACTACTATGTA